TCTTCAATTTAGCCTCAGGCATATTCCTTTTTTTTAAATGTCTTTTTAAAGTTAATTTAATTTTTGCATTTCAATCCCATTTCCCCTCCCTCCTCTCCTCCCCCTCCTCCCGTCTGCTCCTCAGAGAGGGTAAGGCCTCCTCTAGGATGTCTGCTAAGTCTTCCCCATCATCTTGTTGAGGCAGGACCAAGGCACCTCTCCACCCCTACCCTCCTGAGTCTAGGTTGGGCAAGGTATCTCTCCTTACAGAAAGGGCTCCACTAAGTCAGTTTGTGCGTTAGTGTTAGATCTTGGACCCACTGCCAGTGGCCTCATATATTGTCCCAGTCACACCAGTGTCACTTATATTAAGAGAGTCTAGTTCAGTCTTATTCAGGCTTGCCCTTTGTCAGACCTGAGTCAGTGATCTCTTACTAGCTCGGGTCAGCTGATTCTGTGGGTTTCCCCATCATGGTCTTGACTCCTTTGTTCATATTATCACTCCTCCCTCCCTTCAACTATAGTCCAGGAGCTTGGCCCAATGGCTAGTTGTAGATTTCTGCATCTGCTTCCATCTGTTTCTAGAAGAGGGTTCAAGCTTCTCTGGGGTTGTGGATTGCAGGCTGGGGATTTTTTGTTTTATGTCTGGTATCCACTTATGAGTGAGTACATATTCTATTTGACTTTATGGGTTTGGGTTACCTCACTGAGGTTTTTTTTTCTAGTTTTGTCCATTTGCCTGCAAATTTTAGGATGGCATTGTTTCTTATTGCTGAGAGTATGTCATTGTGTAAATGTACCACATTTTTAAAAATCCATTCTTCAGTTGAGGGGCATTTAGGTTGTTTCCAAGTCCTAGTTATTATGAGTAATGTTGCTCTGAACATACCTGAGCAAATGTCCTTGTGGTGTGAATGTGCCTTCTTTGGGTATGTGCCCAAGAGTAGTATTGCAGGGTCTTGAGAGAGGTTTATTCCTAATTTTCTGAGAAATCTCCATATTAATTTCCACAGTGGCTGTTTAAGTTTGCATCCCCACCAGCAATGGAGAGTGTTCCCTTTCTCCACATCCTCTCCAGCATAAGCTGTCATTGGTGTTTTTTGATCTTAGCCATCTGACAGGAGTAAGATGGTATCTCAGAGTGGTTTTGATTTGCATTTCCCTGATGACTAAGGATGTTGAGCACTTCCTTAAGTGTCTTTCCACCATTTGAGATTGTTCTGTCGAGAATTCTCTGTTTAGATCTGTATCCAATTTTTAATTGGATTATTTGTTGTTTTGATGACTAGTTTCTTGAGTTCTCTGTATATTTTGGAGATCAGCCCTCTGTCAGATGTGGGGTTGGTGAAGATCTTTTCTCACTCTGTAGGGAGCTCAGGCATATTCTTAAGACAAGGACAGAAAGCAGCCGCATTCTTTGCCACCAAAAGTATCACAAGAATGGCATCTATCTGTAAAGTGAAGCCTTTCCCGCCAGCCTGGTTCCAGGGCCTCATCAGTCCCAAATAAACACACAGGAGGCTATATTAATTACGAAGCTGTTGGCCTTGCTTGTTTCTTACTGGCTAGCTCTGACTTAACTATTTATCCCATAATTGCTAATCTAAGTATTTCTCTTACTGGAGAGGTTTCCGGGCTTCCTACCCCATGGCGTTACATCTTGACTCTCTGTGTTTCTCCTACCCAGAGTCCTCCTCGACTCCTAGTCCTACCTATCTTTCTTCCCTGTTGGCCAACAGCGCTTTATTGACATACACACAGGACTTTCCCCATCATTTCCTCTTTTGTGTTTAAACAAAAAGAAAGGTCTTAACTTTAACATAGTCAAATTATATATAACAGAATAGTTATCAAGTAAGAACAGTTACAATATTTTAGCAAGATTTTAAAAAAATATCATCCATCCCATCCTTGTGAGTCCAAAGTTCTATATTTAGCTTATCTTTTATCATAACTAAGGAAAACTATAATTATAACTATCTGCCTTCAACTCCATCAAAGACCACAGAAGGATAATATGTAAACACTAGAACTGACAGAGACATCTCGCTTCCAGGATAGTCACCCGAAGTTCCTCTGTAACGTTGGGGCATCCATCTTCAGCCCATAAGCCACAGTGCGTCCAGAAGATTTCTCAGCAAAGCAGGAAATTTCAAACTGTCCATCTGCATCAGCAGTCTGTCAGTCATTTTTCTGTGTCCTGTAGAAAGCTTCGTAGACTCTTCCATGAATCAGGAACCCTGAAGGACTGTGTGAGTTCAGCAGTCACTTTCCTGTGGGTCCTGCATATCCAGATTATACAGCAACAGTCAAGCAGTCCAGGCAAAAGCAGTTTCTTGCCCAAATGGCTAATCTTGCCACGTTGAAAGGAAACTCCATAGCGAGTTTCTTCGATGCCCATCTTCTTCTCAGACATAATTGGTGCTGCCAGGAACAGACATTTTTCATTGTCAAGAAAAACCCTAAACCATTTTAAATGCCATTTTCTGAAGGCCTTTGAAAGGTTTGAAGACTGTCTATGTATCTCAAATATATCTCTGTATATCTAGAAAACCTAACTTACCTAACTATAAGTTCTGACTATTATATGTAACCATCTATAGTCTATATTTAATTATGTATTATGCTTTAAAAGAAAAGTATAAGTACAATACTTAATCAAGAGGAGAAATATACACATCACAAAATTGACCTTGACTTTGTATCAATAAAGGAAAAACTGTACCAATACATACTACTCATTTCCATATCATAGTCCCCTTTTTCCTTTAAAAAGAGATTTGTTGTGATCATTAACCAATTATAAGCAACCCATTTAAATGAAAACAAAGATTTATAAACAAGATGGGAATTAGGACGTCGCTCATTCCAAACTGTTTTGTGCTGGAAGGGAGCACTGTTCATACCATGGGGATTATGACAAAACTCAGAAACCTGTATAAGTCCTTATTTTGGGGGTCTGGAAGGCCCCATCATCTTAGCTGTTTTAGATGTTGGAACACCTGGTCCACTGCTTCTGGGGGTCTTGGTTCATCAAACCAGAGAAGCCTGGAAGGAATCCTCAGCTTTTCATTTTCTGTAGAAACGTAAACAAAAACTCCTTTCCCAAGTAACATATCCTTATACTTAAATTTTGAAGTCAAGGCATTTTCAAAAGATATAAGTTGAATTAATTCAGCAGCATTCATAATCAAGTGTACTTTAGCAGTTGTTCCTTCCTTAGCAATCAAAAAACTGAAAAACACAATAGTATACAGTATCCAGACTTTCTGTGTATTTTCCATCTTTACGTGGCTTATTTACTTATCTATTATTATTACTCTATTTCTTTTACTTTTATTTCTTTATTTATTTCTCTGAGACAGGGTTTCTCTGGAAATCTGCCTGCCTCTGCAGCAAATCCTACCGGCTTGCGCCACCACAGCCGGCTTCTCTACTTATTTACCACTATGTCGTTTCTTTTTCTCTCTCAGTCTTATGTATATTTTTATACACACTGTAAGCATTTAGAGATTTTTCTTCATCCAAGTCTGACTTTACTGTAGATATTTATGTTTTTCTGGCCACATGTCTTACCTGTTAAAACCGAGGCTGTTTAAACTGCGGTTTTTCCAAGATGGTGGGCGTAAGCGTGACTCCATCTCATCGCTTCATCTATGCTGAGATCCAGCAAAAGCTGCCTGCTTAGAGATGCGGTCACTGCCACTTCCAGCTGTACATATACACCTTTCAATTGTTAGCAGAGCCTCTTAAAATATCCTTGCTGGTTTTTGTTTTTTTGCTTATGCTGAGTCAGGAAAACTCCCTTAAGCGAGCTGCATTAAGTCTCTGCTGTCTCTAGTAAAACAGAGCCCACCTGAGAAAAATGCTGCTACCAAGAACCCATGCTTTTCTCTGTTCTTTTGTTTCTAAAATTCCTTTTAAGCTTTTGTTATTCTACGTGGACATTTAATCCCACTCCTGACAACCATTATGTAAAGGAAGGCCTTCCCGCCAGCCTGGTTCCAGAGCCGCATCAGTCCCAAATAAACAAGCTGTTGGCCTTGCTTGTTTCTTACTGGCTAGCTCTGACTTAAGTATTTATCCCATAATTGCTAATCTAAGTATTTCTCTTACCGGAGAGGTTTCCGGGCTTCCTACCCCATGGCGTTACATCTTGACTCTCTGTGTTTCTCCTACCCAGAGTCCTTCTCGACTCCTTGTCCCACCTATCTTGCTTCCCTATTGGCCAACAGTGCTTTATTGACATATACACAGGACTTCCCCCACTATCTATCCCTGTTAATAACAGTGTTCCCCTCTGGAACCTCTTGAGGCGGGCTCCCATAGTCACAGTGTTCAACCACTTTCCTAGTGCAACGTTTCCATTGTCTTCTACATTCCTCCAAAACACAACCAAGTCATCTGTCAAGTTTGTCAAGCTATATCCCACCCTTTGGTACCAACTTCTGTGCTGATTAGTTTTCTCTTGCTGTAACAAAACGCTATGAGCAAAGGAACTCATAAAAGCATTCAGCTGGGCTTACAGTGTAGAGGGTTAGTGTCTATGGTGACAGAGCAAAGATGTGAATGGCAGGAACAGCTTAGAGTTCACACCTAGATCCACAGCCACGAGGCAGAAAGAGAGCACACTGGCAATGGCATGGAGTTTTGAAACCTCAAAGCCAACCCCCAGGGACACACTTCCTCCATCAAGGCCACACCCCCCAGTCCTTCTCAAACGGTTCCATCAACCGATGACAAAGTATTCAAAGATATAGGCCCAGCGGGGGCCATCATCACTCACACCACCACAGGCATCTTCATCTGTGAGGCCCAAGAGGATTCTCAGATTTCTGTTTTTTTGTTGTAGGCAGGTGAACCATGTGGTTGACTCTGTGCCTCAGTTGTAACCATTTTAGAAGTCACAAAAGTAAGGCCAGGAATGCAACCCACACCTGTGCTTAAGGTCGCAGAGAGAGAGGGAAAAATGTGAAGTAAAGTGCAAACAGTTTGAGCTCTATCATTATTTTTTTTTCTAGTTGTTCCTGAGAGACACGTTCTTCATTTTTGGTAGACAAACCAAGTCCTTAAGATTGTCTCAGAAGTTAAGGTGGAGCGTTGCTCACCGACTGCTCTTCACAAGGGACTCGTTTCTTCGTGGCTTCTACCTGTGGCTTAACCCTCTGGACGGAGCTAAGTTCTTACCCAGCAAAAGTGAGTGTCTTCCTCTCTTGGTGCCACTACACTAACACGGGTGATTGACCCCCATACTCACCACATTCCAGGTTTCCAGAATTTCAAGGTAGTTGTGCAAATCAGGAAACTGGAGGTGCTTCCGCGTTCATTACCTTTCATGTTGTTGTGACCAAATACCTGAATGAAAGGTGACTTACGAGAGGGACGATTTACTTTGGACCCTGATTTGCAGTTACTGTCCTTTGTGGTGGGAAGATAGACACACTCCCGGGAGCAGCTTGTAGCTGTGGTATTGGGAGTGTGAGACTGCTTGCTCACATCTTTGGATTGTGGGGGGGCGGAGAGAGGACGTGAAGTGGTCAGTGCCAAAGACTCAACACTCGCCCCCCCCCCAGGACTCATTTCTTTTAGCTATGCTCCAGCTCACAGAGGGGCCTACAACGTTTTACAACAGTGCCGTCAGCCTCAGAGCAAGAGTTCAAACACTGAGCCTGTCAGGAACTCAGGTTGTTAAGAGCTGCTTTTAGAGCATGCTCAGTGAGAGCAGAGGAGTCTGTGGCCAGACCCGTGCATGCACCCAGAATGCACTGCTTCCAATCATGTTCTTGCACCCAGAATGCACTGCTTCCAATCATGTTCTTGCACCCAGAATGCACAGTTCCCAGTGCCATGCTTGCACCCGGAATGCACAGCTCCCAGACCTGCGGGCTGTCTAGCTGCATTGTCTCATTCTTTGTCATGGAGTCATCAGAGGTCAGAGCTGAGCATCTGTTGGGAGATCTGGTCCCATCTACTGAAGGACAAGGAGTCTGAATATCCCATCAGTGAAAGGCTGGCAGTTCTCAGAGTGGGGGCCAGCATCCAGAGCCCACAGGACTCTCCGTGTGGTGCCGGGAGCCAGTATGGCAGCTGTCCGTGTGCTCTACTGCTGAGGCATAGCCTGCATTTCTGTGTACGGAATGAGTCCAGAGTTTTCTAAGCTGTGGATCTCTTCATCCATCTCACCTACCTGGCACAGCAACTCGGATTTTATTTATTTATTTGTTTACTTATTAATTATCTATTTTTTGATATTTTAAAAGTTAATTTATTTTTTTTTTACATTCCAATCCCAGTTCCTCCTCCCTCATCTCCTCCTTCCCCTCCCTCCACTCCCTCCTCCTTCTCCCATCTGCTCCAGGGAGAGGGTGAGGCCTCCCCTAGGAAATCTACTAAGTCTGTCCCATCATTTTGTTGAGGCAGGACCAAGGCACCTCTCCATCCAACCGTGTCTAGGCTGGGCATGGTATCTCTCTATATAGAAGGGGCTCTGCTAAGTCAGTTTGCTCATTAGTGTTAGATCTCGGACCCACTGCCAGTGGCCTCATATATTGCCCCATTCACACCACTGTCACCTATATTTAGGGAACTCATATTAAAAGTTCATTTTTAAATTGTGTATATATGGGGTTTGGTATAATTCAGTACACACGTGTGAAGTGTGACGTTCGCACTGATTCACAATTTCATTTCCTTAAACATCCATTTTTCCTTTGTGTTTGGAACTTTTCTGGGTAAATTTTAAAAAGTTTTTAGTGAAGGTGTACGGGCCTTTTGCCTGCATGGTTTTTATTTTTTATTTTTTGTGCATCACATGGGTGCAGTGCCCACGGAGGCTGGAAGAGGGCGTTGTGATCCTCTGGAACTGCAGGTACAGGCGGCTGCTGGTACCAAGCGTTCCTAACCACTGAGCTTGTCTTTTCCAGCCCAGTGTTGGCAACTTTCAAATACTTCTCTGCTAGTTACTCGTAAAAAAAAAAAAAAAAGAAAAATATGAATTCCCCGGCCCGGGTGCCACACTTGGACCACCGGAACGGGCATACATGCTACTCCGCCCTCTGGCTCTGGAGACCTGGCAGCCTGTCTTTGTTCTTTCAGATGACCTTCGTGAAGATGAGGCTGGTGTACGCCTTCCTCCTGACAGCGGGCGCGCTCTGCGTGTACCTCAGCATGGAGCCTTTAAAGGAATTTACCTTCGTTCTCAAGAGAGACCAGGGGAAGTTTCTGCGGCTCCCGGACGTAGACTGCAAGCAGAGGCCGCCTTTCCTCGTGCTGCTGGTAACCTCGTCCCACAAGCAGCTGGCAGCCCGCATGGCCATCCGCAAGACCTGGGGTGGGGAGACAGAGGTGCTGGGACAGCACGTGAGGACCTTCTTCCTCCTGGGGACCTCAGACAGCCCCACCGAGGTGGACGCCGTCGCCCAGGAGAGCGAGCAGCACCGCGACATCATCCAGAAGGATTTCAAGGACGTCTATTTCAACTTGACCCTGAAGACCATGATGGGCATGGAATGGGTCCACCACTTCTGTCCCCAGGCAACCTTCGTGATGAAAACGGACTCGGACATGTTTGTGAACGTCGGCTACCTAACGGAGCTGTTGCTGAAGAAAAACAAGACAGCCAGGTTCTTCACGGGCTACATAAAGCCCCGCGACTCCCCCATCAGGCAGAAGTTCAACAAGTGGTTCGTGAGCAAGTTTGAGTATCCTTGGGACAGGTACCCACCTTTCTGCTCTGGCACCGGCTACGTCTTCTCCAGCGACGTGGCGAGCCAGGTGTACAACGTCTCGGAGAGCGTTCCGTTCCTCAAGCTAGAGGATGTGTTCGTCGGGCTCTGCCTGGCCAAGCTGAGGATCCGGCCCGAGGAACTCCACACCAAACAGACCTTTTTCCCTGGTGGCTTGCGCTTCTCCGTGTGCCGCTTTCAGAAAATTGTGGCCTGCCACTACGTAAAGCCCCAGGACCTGCTCACTTACTGGCAGGCCCTGGAAGCCTCTCGTGGGCAGGACTGTCCTGGTTTCTGAGGTGTGTGTGTGTGGGAGGAGTCTGTGGCACCTGGGACAAACTTCTGATAACCTTTGGTGATCGATGCTTTGGGAAGATCTGGGATGGCCTTGCTGGGAACCCGTCGGGAGGGTAGAGAGAGAAGGAGGAAGGCATGGTGTTGCTCTCCACGCCCTGCACACACGCGCGCGCGCGCTCACACACACACGCACACGCAGGAATGGATGCACAAGCCAACAGACTTGTTCCCACTTGGCACCCAGAGCAATAACACACCTCATCTTTCAGGCCTCTGCGCTATGTTCTCAATGACTGAGACACACCTTCATCAGCTCGTTTCAGGGCTCAGCATACCTATGAAGCCATGGATGTGATCATTCCTATTTTATAGGCTAAGGAGCCAGCAGCCAGGGTCACCTAACTTGCCCAAAGACGACTCACAGCCTGCCAAGCAGAGCAGGGATGAGGACAGAGTGCTGTCGGAATTCAGTTGGTGGGACCCAGCTGAGTGTCCCGTTCTTTGGGAGAGGGGGGTGGTGGTGGTGGTGGGAGAAGCTTCCATCTCAGGCCCCTCCCCTCACTTGAATGATGTAGCTGGGTACTGAGTCTGTTAGACATGGTACCCAGTGTACCTTCAATATGGTCCCAGGAGAAAGGCATGGCTGCAGACACCAGCTTGTCACCTCCGCGCCAGGAGGAAAGTGGGTCGTATGGCCGCATAAATCAGGCTCTCTCAGCCATTGCTGAATCTTGGCTGAACAGACCTACCCTGCCGCTGAAATCTCAGGGAGGGTCGCATCTCCTCTGAAGCTTCTGGGGCAGCTGGTCTCAGCAGAGGTTGCAGCCCTGGAGCACTTCAAACTCCAGGGTAGCCAGGTACAGGCATGGTCTGTACAGGTATTCAAGAACTTTGCAGGCCCCTGGGCTGGTCCAAGCTCCTGGGGTGCAGAGCAGGGAGGTAGGGCCCAGTCTAGGGGCTCTCCCCACACCTGCAATCCCACCTTACCCCGGCTCTTCATGCTGGGTTTATCACCGGGTCACAGATCAGCTGAGGTTTAGCCCTGAAGGTTTTTTTTTTTTTTTTCCAGAGCTGGGTTAAAAACAGGGACTCATGCTCATTCCACCAAAGTGACCAGGCATGTATGGAGTCTTGCTCTGCATTGTGGGAATCATCGCTCTTACCCCTGCTTTGTGCTCAACTAGATTTAACCGTGCTCTTGGAGCGAAGGCTTGGCGTGTCTGCACGATGATTGTTAAACGTTGCAACACGCTCTCATCTGAACTCAGGAAAACTCACTCAAAGGTCAGAGCACCGTTAAATTGGAGGAGGCCGGAAGTTGCCTCCAAGGCCTCATTCCCAAGCTTGTTCCTGTCCCTCCTCTGAGTCTCTTCCATAACTCTAGGGGGCAGAAGGGGAGATACTTCTGTATGTGGCATTCTTCAGAATCATACAGCACCAGGTTCTGACCCTTATAGTTCAGAATGTGTAAAGATCTGAGCCAGGTAAAGAGAAAGGCTGATTGCTCCTGGGTGTGTACTAAGGGACCCCTTACACCATCAAAACCAAGCCCAGCCAGATCTTCTTTTGACAGAGGGGAAGCCGAGGCTTGTAACGGCATGGTGGCTTTGTTACCTAGCGTGGGTGGAAGAGCTGGCGTCAGCATGGGGCTCCAGCCGCTCTGCACCAGACCCTCCCTTCATTCATTCATGCATCCACCATATTTGCTCGTCGCGTTCACACAGATCATGAGCAGACAGCAGACCCGAGTGAGCGCTAAGGAGATGGTCCGGCATGGGTTCTCTTGGTATACGCGCAGTGCCCTGGGGAGCATAACTGCCCACACTCCCGTTTGTGTCGAAGATGACAGGCAGACTTGGCGCAGGTAGCCATACTTCCTTCTTGCAACCGAGTTGGTTGTCGGCAGAGGCAACGGAGGTGACGACTCAGTGACTCACCCAGGAGCCCAGAGGTGCTGGAGACCCAGCCCTCCGCCTTCTCCACTGGCGCACCCATTAACACAACTTCCCATGCGCTTATTCCCTCAGAAGCTTGGGGCTGGCGCTACCCGAGGGGGGCACCAGCAACTCCCTTTGCTTGCACACTGCTGCCTCCGTCCTGGGGGTTGGCTGGAGTGTTGGTCTGCTTCTTCCTGGTTCTGTTTGATTTCTGTAACTTGCCCCCCCCCCGGGCCATGTGTGGGATTCTTGCAAACCTCCTGTTTAGACTAGTTTTTTGTTTTTTTTGTTTTTTTTTTTTTTTGGTTTTACGAGACAGGGTTTCTCTGTTTTGGAGGCTGTCGGTCCAGCCTGGCCTCGAACTCACAGAGATCCGCCTGCCTCTGCCTCCCGAGTGCTGGGATTAAAGGCGTGTGCCACCAACGCCCGGTTTAGACTAGTTTTATCATGAAGTCCTGTGCATTTCACGCATGCCCGAACGACCGATCCAGGTGTCTACAGGAGGGCACCAGGCTAGTTTTATTACCTGGGGCCATGAGCTGAGGGAGTGGCTCACAGATACAAGCCCAGAGGGGTTTTTTTAAGCCCCAGCCTCCCGGGCAGAAGTGAAACACATGCACCACCCTGCCAAGCAAGCATAAGGCTTTTGGCATCACGATTACAGCAGCAGAAGCAGCAATGAAAGTGTCCACCACCAGGGCTCAGGGTGCTGTTTTGGAAGAACAAAGCCAGGCTTCAGACACCCTCTGGATTTTCCACTGAGTCTGCAGCCTCCTGGCGGACTAAATAATTAACAAGCCGAATTTAATACTGTAGCTGCCGGGCACGGTTAAAAAATGCCAGATAAGGCATTTATATTTTCCCCAACACCTCCATTTGGAAGAATTTAGTTTCTTATAGCATATTTTAAAAATTAAGAATGAATTTTCTGTATTCTTCACATTGGGGCTGGCATCTTAAGCCTTGTCTAGGCGGGGCTCTCCTGGTAGTTTGGGACGTTGACTCTTCTCTCTGGCTGGGACTTTGGCTCCCAGGTGTGGTCGGAAGGAGACACCTGTAGTTATACATAGGTCCTAAGGGGACTTCTCAAAGGAGGTGTCTGACACCAGCCAAGCTACTGCAGTCTGTGAGGGTGCTGGCAGGGACGTAAACACCAATTGTCCCTTCTGGCCTGGGTAGGATTGTTCAGTGGTTTAAGGTGTTTGCTGCCAAGTCTGGCAAATTTAGTTCAGTGCTTGAGACCCACATGGTAAAAGGAAGAGAACTGACTTCCCCAAGCCCATGGTGGTCCTGCACACAGGTGCACGCACAGGCATAATAAACAAAATGGAAACAAATACCATACCTTTTTTTGCAAAGGCCCCCTTCAGACACCGGCCTCCAAGGCTCTTTGCTCGTTTTTATTTCTTCGTGGCTTCTCCATGATGCAAACCCCTGTGCATGAACACTGGGACAGGCATGTTAGAAATAAACTCTCAAATTGCACCTCTAAGCTTTGCAAGGTACTTTCTCATTTGGTTGAGAATTTGATAGGAAAATTTGTTGGGGGTTTGCCTCAGGTGTCTCTGGTTCCCTGCCTTTTAACCTAGCTCCCAGGATAAGACAGATCCTCAGAAACAGCCTTAGATTGTTCCTGGAGGCGAAGAGTGAATCAGTCCAAGCTCAGGGTTGAGACGGGCTGTGTGCACCTCAGATGAACGAGTTGGAGTGAAGCATAATAATAGTAAAAAAAAAAAGATTTTAAATCAATTAATTTTAAATCAATTAAAAGCAGCGTTCCCAGGCATAGTCATTTTAAATACAGGTTGAAAAATGGATTCTGTGGACAAATGCCATTGTGTATGTGTGTGTGTGTGTGTGTGTGTGTGTGTGTGTGTGTGTGTGTGTGGCATCATCTTGTGGTTTTGGTGCTGGGGCGTGGAGCCCACAGCTGCACACAGGCTCTCTCCGGCCCCCGTTGAGTTGTTTTGTATCATGTATTCTACTACCTCCAGGCAGGGGTCATGGGGATCAGCTCCTGATGCCCGCACTTCGGATGCTGTTCTGGGTAGTTTTGACTGTTGAAAACCTGACGCAACCTACAACCGTGCTGGAAGGGAGTTTTAAAAGAGAAGTATCTCTTTATTACCAATCGACGGAGGAAGACTCAGTCCACCGCGGGTGGCACTGTTCCCTAGGCAGGGCTCCTGAACAGTACGAGGAGAAAGCCAGCCTAGGGGAAGCAAGCATCCCTGTGTCTATCCTCTCTCTCTGCCGGGAGCATGGATGTGCCCCACGGCTTCCAGTTCCTGCCTTGAATTCCCTGCAATAATAGACCGCAACCTGGAATTGTGAGCCAAATAAAGCCCTTTCTTCCCTAAGTTGCTTTTTTCCCCCTACAGTAACAGAAACGATGCAAAAACAGATGCTCAGGGGGCTACCCACACCATGGGGTCTCAGACTCTTCTCCACACCACCCTGCCCCTGGATGTCATCTCTAGTGCCATCCCTCTGTCCCAAACAGAGGTGAGCCCAGAAATCTGTGGAGCCCTTCTTATGTTCTGTTGCGGGAAATGTCAGAGGGGGAGAGCTGACTCATGTCACCCAATCACACACGACAAAACAAAACCCAAACCCTCCATGATTGGGAGAGATTGATCCACAACTGAGGATGCTTTGTGATCAAATTTGATTTTCCAAAGAATTAAAAAAAATTAAACATCCATGTAATTGAGTGGTGTTTGAAATTATCATTTGCCTGTCCACTGGGGAGGTTCTACAGGCCGACACTGTATTTCGGGAGTGGCTATATGTATTTATGATTTGTTAATAATGATATTTATCTTTAATAAAAGTTTAATTACAAGCACCATAATGTATGTGGGTGGTTCTCACTTGCAGCTCCCTGGAAGTTAGCAATATCCGTATGATCTAACTTGGGCTTTTTTTTTTCCTGTTGATGTTTGTGTTTGGAAAATTTTTTTTTAAATTCAGTTTTGGTTTTGTATGCTTAGAAAAGTACTGCTGAAGAGTCTCGCTTATCTTTGAAATACAAGAGGATTTCTTTTTTCAATCGTGTTTTGGGAGCAGAGTCACAGAACTCTACGGTTTGGAAGGGTTTCAGTGGTAGTTAGCATCAGGCAAGCAGTGTGGAGCTGTTGGTAATTACAGTCCAGACAGCAGGCATTCGCCCTTTGAAATTATTTCCCCTCTGGCATATTTTTTCCTACTGTTTAAGCCTAAGGAATTAATCTTATGACTCAACTGGCTGAACCTTTGGCGTCTTTGATAATTAATTGCTTTTGAGGTACGGTTTGGATCCTCGATCTCTCATGTGTCACTTAAACGGAAATAAAGT